CCCACCCCAGCCCAGCCGTGGATTGATACCAGTCCACAGCCCGTTGGGAACCAGGCCACGCAAGTGGTGGGTGAGCACATTTGCACATGCGTGGGATCTAGGTTGCAAGCACAGCCATCCCCCTTCCCCGCCACTGCTGCTGGTCCATGCAGCCAGAAATGTCAGGGACCACTGATTTAGACTCTGCACTATAATGTGGCCCCAAATGCCATTTTTAACTGCCTGAATGGAATAACATTTCCAGATAACAGGACATATTTTTTCTGTTTTCTGTCTTGAATGCATCTACAGTATTGTATCCTGTTTTAGATTGAAGGATTCTGAAAAATTGGAGCAGTGTTCAGGAATGGCAGTAAAGATCATGAAAGGACTGGAAGCTAAGTACTGTGAAGAAAAGATTGAAGGAACTGGCATGCTTAGTCTTGAAGAAAAAGGATTGATTATACTCTTCAAATTGTTGAAAGGATGTCACAGAGACAGTCCAGGCCTATCTTCTCTTCTTCCAAAGCGTAGGACACAGAACAATTTAAGTTTTAGCAAATAAAATTCTGATTGAATGTGAGAAAAAAACAAACCAATCTCAACAGCAAGAGCAATTTGTCAGTGGAACCAGTTACTGAAAGAGTGAGGATCTGAGTAACTGTCTGAGAAGCTTTAATACGAACTTCACTGAGGAGGCGGCGGCTGGATTCAAATCACCTCATGGCTCCTTCTAATTATTTGATTCTGTGATCCTAGGCAAATTGATTTTTTTTTTCCAGTTCAAGGGAACATGTAATAAGAATACCTGAATACCATTATTAATATATACAATATTATCAGGTGAATTATGTATAAACTAGGAATATTTGTGGTTCATAATTTTTATGAGGACACAGCAGTTGAAAAAGATACCAACATCTCCCAGCTTTTGTCTCTTTTCCTTCAAACCAGGATAGGCTTAATCTATGCACTGCAGTAGACCTGATGTGAACTGTTGTTAAGAGAGATTGCTCCATTATGTGGAAATCAAATAGGAGGAGAAATATTAGATTTTGTCCAGGGTAACCAAGACTGGGGAGGGTGGCAGGAAAACATTGAACAAATATGAAAGGCATCCAAAGTCCTTAGTGAAAGTGCTTGAAGGCACAAGGAAATGATTTTCCAGTGACAAGAGGATATGATGGGCTTTCCTGTTATTTTACCTTTGTGACCATTTTTGCTTTTAAATTAGGAATCATTTGGTTAACCCAGAGAGACTTGCAAAATATTCTCGGTCTTCTGTTGAAGCCATGATGCCTTTTGGGAGTTTGGTTATGCTGGTCTGTAACCATAGCAGAGATTTGATTCGATCTGTTATTACTGCATAAAAGGCAGTCCCCTTTGTTTGTTGTTCTCTTTTGGCTGACCACTTTGGGGGCATAGACACAGTTGGCCTAGCCCTAGGGTGGTCATTTGGTTTAGAAATGTTATTCTGGGGAAGCCCTGACATCTCTGTCTCTAGCTCAGGTTCAGTCCCTTCAGATGCAGTTTTGGAAACGGCCAGAATGTCAAGGATAAACAGTAACATCAAGCTTTTCTTCCCATTTTCCCCGCCTCACTTGTTTTGCTACCTGCCTTCAATCCAAACTCAATCTAGCCTTAATCTACAATTTGTCCAGGGATATTGACTTGTTATCAGATCTTATTTGTAGGAGATCAGTTGCCAAATGTGCCCTTTTTACCTAATTTCCTGTCAAAAAGGACATTCTTGGTCAGAGCAGTGAAAATACCATTTTAGAAAAGTGATTATTTCAAGTCACCTGAGTGTTATCTGGTTGATTGGTTTATGTATTTAGGTTTATTATTAACTTCGAATGCTTCCTGCTGGTGCAACAACAGATTGGTTACAATGATTAAAATATACTGAATTAAAAACATTCATAAAAACAATCCACTGTGAAAACAATGTGCTAATTTCTTAATTAAATTATTCTTTGGGAAGAAAAATGCTTTCACCAGTTTCTTGGAGGACAAAAGATAAGTACTACTGAACCACAAGAGACCTGCTGTTCGAGACTGAGGAGGGTACTGCTAAGAATTCCATTCTTTGGGTCCAACTTACTGATGTATAGCAAGGTAGACATGTGGAACATCTATGCAGGGTGGGCAGATTCTAATGGATATATCAAAAGGTTTAGAGAGATTAAAAGATTCCTTCCCATAATGCATAAAAATGTTCGAAAGTTATTTCAGGAAGCCCAAAGTTTATTTATTTATTTTATTTATTTTATTTTGTCAAGCGATTATAAGATAACAGGTATAAGTATAACATAGTTATGAATACATGAAATGGATACATATAAGAAAAATAAAAAGAAACAATAGGAAAGGGACGGTAGTTCTGTGAAAAGTTCTGTGAACAGAATGAAATGGTTCATTTCCCTATATTTATTTATTTATTTATTTATTTTGTCGAGCAATTATAAGATAACAGGTGGTTATCTTATAAGCATGGTTATGAATACATGAAATGGATACATATAAGAAAAAAAAAGAAACAATAGGACAGGGGCGGTTGGCACATTGGTGCACTTATGCACGCCCCCTACAGACCTCTTAGGAAAGGGGTGAGGTCAATAGTAGACAGTTTAAGGTTAAAGTTTTTGGGATTTGGGGAAGAAACTACAGAGTCAGGTAGAGTATTCCAGACATTGATCACTGTTGCTGAAGTCGTATTTCCTGCAATCAAGTTTGGTGCAGTTTACCTTGAGTTTGTATCTATTGTGTGCTCTTGTATTGTTATGGTTGAAGCTGAAGTATTCATTGACAGGTAGGACATTGCAATACATAATTTTATGTACTATACTTAGATAGGACCAAAGGTGGCATAGTCCTAGGTTGTCTAGGTCTAGAATTTCAAGTCTGGTGGCATAAGGTATTCTGCAACAAGTAGAGGAGTGGAGAACTCTTCTTGTGAAATATTTCTGGACTTTCTCAACTATATTAATATCAGATACGTAATGTGGGTTCCAGACTGATGAGCTGTATTCAAGTATTGGTCTAGCAAATATTTTGTATGCTCTAGTTAGTAGTGTGAGATTACCGGAGAAAAAGCTACGCAGGATTAGGTTAACAACTCTTAATGCCTTTTTGGCTATGTAGTTACAGTGGGCTCTAGCATTTAGATCATTAGAAATGAGTACTCCAAGATCCTTGACAGAGTTTGGATCATCAACAAGATCTTGACTATTCAGCTTGTATTTTATTTTCTGATTTTTTTTGCCAATATGTAAGACAGAGCATTTATTTGTTGAGATTTGAAGTTGCCATTTGTTTGACCATTCTGATACATAGTCAAGGTCTTTTTGAAGTGTAGCAGTATTGTCGGTGGTGTTGAATAGCTTTACATCATCAGCGAAAAGAACACAGTTGCTCTTAATATGATCACAGAGGTCATTTATGTGGAGCATGAAGAGAGTTGGTCCTAGATCACTGCCTTGGGGGACACCACTGTTGACAGGTACGCTCCCAATTTTGACCATTTGTTGTCTGTTTGACAGGAATGCTTCTATCCAGTTATGCAGGTGTTAGAGATACCATAAGATTTTAGTTTTAGGAGTAGTTTGTCATGTACCACTGAATCAAAGGCTTTACAGAAGTCTATGTAAATTGCATCTATTGCTTTGCCCTGATTGAGTTGTGTAGTCCATATGTTTTTGCAGTATAAGAGTTGCAGATTACAGGATAGTTTTTTCCTGAAACCAAATTGTTTATTAAAGAGTAGGTTGTATGTCTCTAAGTGGAGGATAATGGATTGGTTAATAATTGATTCCATGACTTTACAGGTGACGCAGCATAAAAAGATTGGTCTGTAGTTTTCAACTAGTTTCCCTTTTTGAAGATTGGGGATGACCATGGCGATTGACCATACATTTGGTAAAGAGCTGGTCCTGAAAGATTTTTCAAAGATTATGCTTAGAGGTTTGGCTATGGCAGTGGATAGCTTTTTTAAGAAGTAGGCACATATTCTGTCCAGTCCAATAGATAGAGATGGTTTTAGATTGTATAGTGCTTTTTCAACATTGTCTTCTGTAAAATTGATATGTATTAGATCATTGTAGTTGTCTGTGGTTCAGCTAGGAAATACTGGGCATGATCCATTGCTGTTTACAAATACTGAGCCAAAGAATATGTTAAAGAGGTTGGCTTTAATGGTGTCATCGTTGCAGTCTTTACCATTCGGTCTTTTCAGGGGTGGGATGGACCTTGAGTCTTTTATTTGTTGTTTACAAAATATAAATAAATCTTCTTAAAAATAGAGGTGAGACTATTATAGACTGCCAAATGCTGCTAAGCTACAACTGAGCTATTCCAGCACCCAGCAACCAGAGTTACACTGGAGAGCACTAAGAGATCAGCTGCTTGAGCAAAAGCTCAAGTCCTCCTAATTAAGAGGATCTGAGTATCCCAATTAGGAAATGTGTATGATAACATCCCCGTACTCCTCCTTCTCAACGGGCACTTACTCTCAAGCTCAACTTACTTCTTCAATGAATTACATTTGTGTGATTAAAACCCCAAGGTAAAAATTGTTTGCACACATATATATGGAAATAAATCCTATGATGCTCCAGGCAAATAAAAACCGACAGTGGCCAAACGGGACCATCTAATGAGACAAAGGTATCTTTGGGGTGCTCTTCCTCTCTAAGGAAATTCCTCCGTCCCCAACAGTTTGGTTGGAACCTCAAATTTCCTCTTTCTGAGTTTACAGCACCAGAACAAGTCCGCAATGGAACATTTTTTGGGGGAAATGTTTGTGATATTAGGTCGTTCATTGGGTGCCCCCTCCAATAAGCTTCCTGGTTGAAGAAGAAGCCAGGTTTGGGGAACGTTAGGCAGAATCACCTCGGGGCGCACTGCAAGGGCGAAGGCGGGAAGAAAGAAGATCGCGGACACCAGGTACAAGTGGGGCGGGTTTCTGGGGGTTTCTCCGCCTTGGAGAGGCGGAGAACTAAACCTGAGAGAAATAAAGGCGCTCGGCGGGAATGAGGTGTGAGAGAACAAAGATCCATCTCTGCAGTCGGCGTTTACAAACGGAGCGCGACCCTCCGATCCGGCCACCGTCCTTTCGCAATCCCGGCCATGGGAGAAACTTTTCTACGCTGCCCGCTGCGCACTCCGTGCGGTCGGGTTTTGGTGTCGTTACCGCCCGGCGGCGAATTCCTGCTGGGTACTCCGGAGTTCGTAAACAGGACAAGCGGTGAGTCTCTCCGCTTTTTTCTCGCATCCCGAAGAGGGGGAAGTTAGTTGGGTGCGTGCGCCCCCGAGATAGCCCCCAGTGGCCCCGGGAATGAGGGAGACTGCCGGTGGGCTCCTATCAGGTCTTGGATTGAGGGGAACACAGAGTTCAGCCCAGTCCCAGTTAGGAGCCTTTGGAAGATGCCTTTTCCTTTGGGAATTTTTTTATTTTATTCTCGCTTTCCTTTTTTCTTGCAGCCTACCCCCTCCGGGCATCTTCAGAGTAACTACTGAACTACAACTCCCATCCCATTTTGGCTGGAGGGGAATTGTAGTTCGACGAGTGTCTCCACTCCGGGAGTGTTACAAAGCAACATAGCACTTCGGAAGGAAAGTAGAAAGAGTGGCTGTGTCCTGTTCTAGCAAAGCTATGCTAGTCATAGAGTTGAAATTACTTGGGGCCTCTACTTACCGTCCTTATCCACAGCCCTATGAAGGTGCTCCAGAGAATTCTGATATTTGTGATTCTGTGCTGCTCGTTGGACCCATAAATGGGTTTGGAGGTTAGGTATGCCAGCCAATGAGAATAATTGCCAGATGTGTTGTGCATCAAACCTCATTGTTGGCCAAAGTATGGGACTTTAGGAGTTGCATTCAGAGCACCAGATGGCTCTCTTCTGATCAGATGGGTTTTGAACTTCATAATATCTCCCTCCCCCTTATAACATACTGTTCCAGATGACTTTCCTGGATAAGACATCCTCTCCAGACTAACAAAAACCACCTCCCTCTCTATGCATCTAAACGCATGGGGACAGCAGACTTAGTCCCAAGGAGGCATAGCAAAATGGATTGGGTGTCACTACAGTCCTTTCCAATGTCCTTAGCCTGTGAGGGAACAATACAGAATTCATTCTGTATTCATGTTATGCTGACTACTCTGAATGTGAATGACTCTCCAAGGCTTCCATGCTACTTAAAATGTGCTTAACTGGAAGACCGATCTTAGAGATAGGTGCAGATACTTTGCTTTGGAACTAAAATCCCTTTCTCTCATGACCTTGGGCAGCCTATGAGCCATCCCTTTTAATATGACCTTTATTTCTAAATGTCATAGTTGATCCAGTCCATTCATTCAGCTGCTGTCGATACAAATTGTGCTGTTATCCAATTAATTTTAGCACTTGTTCTGTTTTGGGTTTCACAAAAGACTATCGTAGCTTATTAGTGACACAAGCTTGCATACTACAGCAGGCAATGATTACCCCCTGCAGGGAAAGATTTCAGGAAGACTTAGTTGCGCTGTATGATTCATTTGCAAAGGATGTAGGCAGGGGTGTTAGCAGGTGTCGTAAAAAAAGTGACGATGGCAGTTGCGACAGTACAATCAAAATTCTGCCTCTTTTTCAAATGCCTTGCATATGCAATGCACATTAAAAACAAAAACAAAACTTAAATTGCACCATTGCAGCTGCCATTTTGATTTTTTTACCCATACCCAGATGCACAACAAGAAGACCCAACAGATCTTAAGGCAGGGGTGTCAAACTCATCCGGCCCATGGGATGCTTAAATCTGGCCTGCAGGGCAGGCCTGGAAATAGTAAAGGACTGCCCCCCTGTGCCACGTTTTGGCCAGCAGAGTGTTGCAGGAGGCTGTCCAGTTTGAAAATGGGGCCTCGTGCACCCCGTACCCCATTTTGGCTGGCAGTGTGCTGCAGGAGGCGTCTGTCCCGTCTCCCCACCCCACCCACAGCCGACCCACGGAGGAGAACTACAGTGCTGATCCAGCCCTCGAAGAAATCCAGTTTGACACCCCTGCCTTAGGGAGATGAGTGCATCTGAATTATCTGCAGTATAGAAGCAGTTTTCTTGGAAGATAACATGATAGGGGAAAAAACTTACATAAGGAAAATATTTGAAATCCAGCATTGCAGCTTTATAAGCTACTTGAAGAAGTATCTATAGCTATTGTAAACAAAAGATTAGAATCTAACATCCAGAGTCAGGCAATGTCTTATTACAACCAACTGAAACTGATATATACGTACTCAGATTAAAAGCAGAAAAGGGAAAATTTAAAATTAGGCCATTAGCCTATTTAATCAAGGTTTACATTTTAAAGTCCTTCTCAAAGATATTAATCAATACTCAACCTTAATGACAACTAGCATTCGGGTAGAAAGAATAACTTTAGAATAATTTCTCCATCTCTGAAGACATGAAGGGCCTTATAGTCCCAATTATTATCTTGCTGTAGTACATAGACTCCTGACCTAACACAAAGCAGAAATAAATACATAGTGCTGTCTTTATAACAACTGGACTAGTGGATATTTTTATTGGTGCATTTGACAAAAATAAATAAATAAACCAGGCCGAATAGTGTAGAATTTCCTAGGAGTTGGACTGAAACTTTAAACGGTAAAGATGTCCTTCAGAATTTAGAAAATCAACTTTTTCGGAAGGCAGTTTTTTTCCCCTCCAACCAGCATGTGAATTAGAAAATGTTAGAGCATTTTTCTACACACTTTGAGCTTTAATAAACATAATGTAAAGTATCCCAGTATGTCCTACCAAGATGTTAATTCTTAGTATGGGTGGGAATTAATTGAATTGTAATCCAAACATCTGGAAGAAACAGAGTTGGGGCAGGCTCCCTCAAACCTCCTTGCTTTTAATTGTCTCTTTGTCATAGTAAGGGGAAACTGATACCCAATCCACTGGGCATTTGGATTAGAACAGGCCATTGACTGAGAGGGAGAGGCAGTTTGAACTATGAATACCCATTAGCATTGTTAATTGTAGTACCTGTACCTAGCTAATGACTGTGCCCTGACATGATCAGTCTTGGTTAATATTTTTCCTAACTTAGCAGATAAAGATAAAAATATCCACTCAGCTCTGAAACAGTTTCCTTCCTGCAGGTAATGATTATCTTGGCAGATCATAGAGGGAAAGTGAACTCAAAGAGGTGGGGGAATACGGGCTGCTTTAGTCTTTGACCAAAAGTACATTATTATTATGAGTAGACTTGGTCTGAGCAACAGCACCCACTCTTAGCTCCATCTGTGAACAAGTGCCTCTGAAAAAGCAAGTCTGCCTGAGCTTATAATGCCGAGTAAGGTGTGATTTAATTTCAGTGGGGCTGGAGAGAAAGACTCTATCCCAGCTTACATTTTATAGAGGAGTATATCTGGTTGAGCCATCTACGTGTGGCACGATCTGCTTTCCCCCCGCAATTCAGTAGATGCCTCTTTGTGGCCCTTTTCATTTCAGAGGAAAATGAGAGTAATAACATTTAGGATTTTATGTGGTATATTTAAAGATTTCAGATGCCTTCATATCCATGGTTGACAGAACATGGGAGGGTAGCCAGGTTTGCAGACTTTTTTGTTCCTCACTTTTTTTGTACCTTTGTAGCAGCCTAAGGAAGAATGTAAGGGAGTCTTTGCAAAAGTTGCCGCTCCAGATTATTACAGACTGGCCAGTGCTAGGGGTCATTCCAGCCTCCTGGCACTAGTATTTCTCCACTTCTGGAGTAAAAAGGACAGCCTTCAGTAATAAACAAAGATAATTTAGCAGATCTAATGAGAAACAGCCAACTCTTCTCAGTAGTATAACTGCCCTTCCTGGCCCTCCAGTAAGAAATTAGGATTTCCTTTAAGCTGAAATGCCCTGTCCCCTCCACTTTCCCCCCTCCATTTTTAACAAAATGATATTAAATTGATGAGGAATTTTGCTTAGCATCAAAAGAGCTGTATAAAGCAGGACTGAACTTAAGCTGAAGTCAAGGATGGAAGAATTCAATGCTACTGGTACATTAATTATCATCTAATTTTATCTGGAGATGTTTGGTTATTTCAGAGAGTTCTTTGAAATTTCAACATATGGCTCTTGAAACATATGAATTTCACATTTTCCTTTCCTTTCTCTAATTTTTAAATGCTACGCAATGGAAAGAGCAAAGATCATGGTTGATATGATCTCTCTTTTATTGAGAGATACCTTTTAGATCATTATCTACACACAGAGAGAGAGAGAGTTCAGTGCAGAAATCTAAATTAAAGTAACTTGGAGGACACAGTGATATCCTTTGAAGAGTGCTCCAATGAAACCTTCCCAACTCTTTCGATTTGATCTCCATAGTACTTAGCTTTCTAGCCTCCAAATCATTCTTTATTTGCATAATTGTGTCTTCAAATGAGATGGAATGTCTAACACAGGGGTGTCCAACCTTGGCAACTTTAAGACTTGTGGACTTCAACTCCCAGAATTCCTCAGCCAGCTTTGCTGGCTGAGGAATTCTGGGAGTTGAAGTCCACAAGTCTTAAAGTTGCCAAGGTTGGACACCCCTGGTCTAACAGATCCTGACAACATAGAAGATGGAGCAAGACAGTAGAGAATTGGACCATTAAAGAAAAATATCCGTGGTTCATGAAAGGGGGAAAATATGAGAAAGAGACTCAGGGCAATTCTACTTTAATCATCCTAGGTACAAGTTGATCTGAAGAATTGCTGTAGGATGCTTTCAAGATTTTATTAAATTATCCTAATAGCAATAAAGCTCATTCCAGAAATCCAAGGAGTTTTCATTTCCTGAATTTGCCAAACTTCAAAGGACTTGACATCAAATGAAAAAGATAGACAAAGAAAATATTGATTCTGACTTGTTAGAAAAAAGAGGTTTAGAAAAAACATAGAATGGATACAGATTTTTGGCTCCAGCCTCCGATAAACAAGATGCATTGGGAGTTCATGGAAGAACCATTTTGTTAATTCCCTATCCACAGTTCTAAGTTATGAATTTGCTCATACTGTTATTTTAAAAACGCCACATTAGTAGTTATCACTACTCTTCCCTCAGCTCATCTTGGCTATGAGGCCAAGACGTTTCTGACTCCTGCTTCTTGTCCTTTCCTCATTCTTCCCCCCCCCCCACTAGAAAATAATGACAAAAGTATTGCAAGAGGAACCACCTATACCCAAGGTTTCCTGGCCTGGGCCCAAATTGACTCAAAGCTTGTTGTGTTTGCAAGTACTTCCCCTGAGGCTGACACCAGTGCCTGGTGCAGTGGGGGAAAGAGAGAAGACGGAAGAGAGGTTTTTTTTTTAACCAGCTGACGACAGGGGTTGGATTTCACGAAGAAGACATAGAACATACTTTTCAGTTTCCATCACAGCAGTTTCCTTCCAGCAAACACATTTGGATCCCAGAGCGGGTTTTTCAAGTTGAAGCCCCCTGGGTCAAGCCATAGTAGTTTTAATGGTCTGGGAAAATCCGGTTGGTTTTATGCCTGATAGGCATTGAGTTAAAAGCAGAAGATTACTGGACTGACCAGAATTTTCATTCACCCAGCCAAACTGCCGGAAAGGGAAGAACTTAAACTCTTAGAAATGGCCCTGTCAGTTATCTTATTTTCCGTAATATGGAATCAGTTGCAAAAAAGGAGAAGAGATGGAGGAGTTTGGGGAAAAGGCACTTCATATACAGCAAACTTTGGTTTTGACAGCCTTCCGCTGGGAGAAAGAGCTTTCCTTCTGACAGAAGGGATGTGTATTTTGTGAAAGTTTGGGACTTAGACCACTTAATTGTGAAGTGGTGTAGAACTTTTTTTTTTTTTGACGCAGAGCAGAAGTACTGTAGGTGTAATTGGGGCCCTCAAAATAGTAATTAAAATACGAGGCAGCAGAGAATCAGAATCACTCTGTGATATTAAGAATGGACCACTAGTAGTGGCTCTGGTTTTATGAGACATCTCCAATCCATTTATGAAATTCCTGTCACACAAACTGAGGAAATTAATACAAAGGATTGCTAGATTTCAACTCTTACGGTTTTAGTGTCTTCAAGATCCCTTGTAAAGGGATTAAATCTCTGGATATAAGGCAAAGGCAGAAGTTACACTTCTGAACTTTTGAAGACTTTGGATCAACTTGGTTAGGTTCTTGGTGAGGTCTGCAATTCTGCAATAGTCTTATCACCAGGGCTGTCTTAACAGCATTATGGGTCCCAGGCAAAGCAGTGTACTCTGGCCCCTATGACAACTACTCACAGGAATAAAAATGTAACTGGTCGGTAAAATTAGACATATATTTATTTCATTGGTACTTCTAACAAATAAATATGTAATAAATATGTTGCTGTATTTATATGATACAAGGTGCGTTGAAGGGTTAACATATACAGATTAGTATGGGGCCTCTATGCTGATGGGGCCCATGGACAAGTGCCCACCAGGTCCATCAGTTAAGATAGCCCTGCTTATCACCAGACCCTGGAGCCCCCTGGTTCCGTGGCTCTCCTTCCCTAAACTTACTGGATATATGACAAAACAAATGAGCAATAATCTCCAAGCATCTTGTCTTCTCCTTTTAGGAGATACAAATAGTAACCAGGAAGAAGGAGAATGAGCAAGACAATTGATAAAGATTCCCTGAGGGTTTCTTAAAGTCCCCTTAAACCCCCCAAAAACCTGAGCTCTGGATGCTAGCTTTCCTATTGACAAATATTTTCTGAACTTCTATTTATTGATGAAAGGAATGGATTCTTGCCCAAGTAATGCTTTTCTCAAGCCAGCACTTGAGAGTGAGCAGTTGAATGACAGATTGTGACAATTGTAGTGACGGTGTGCTATTGAAAAGCTCTCCACTGTGGCAGCAGGTCAAGAAGAAATGACAAATACATGGATTTTGATCTGTAAGTCTCTGCCCTTAGACTAAAACAAGTTTTTATCTTCTGAGAATTATTATCATCTCTGCTGCCAAGCTTTAAATGCTTAATTTTATTTCTGACTTTTATTGTATTAATATTGCATACACACACCCACACCAAACCCACACTCACAGCTGTTGAAGAAGCAGAAGACAGGACAGAAATTCCACAAATAAAGATTAGCATGGCAATGGTCTTCTCTCCTTTCCAGACCAGGGATTCTGCATTCCCATCCAGGAGGTGGTTGCTGTGAGACTTGGAACAGCCAGTAGCAGAAAGGAGATTTTGGAATCTACTAGGGATGAAAACTCTTTCACAGGTGAGTAAGATAGATCCAGGTTTAGAGCATCTACCCTGTTTCTCCAACAATATGGCCTCCCCCAATAGGAAGTCCCAGCATGTTTTATAGGCATGAAATGAAATTAAGCCCCTCCCCCCAAATTAAGGCCTATATTAAAACATGCGAAATGGGGGGGAATGGTGGGGGGGCTTGCCATTAGGAAGTACTTTTGTTGCACACCCGGATATGGTGCTGCCTGCGTTGACCCCAATATGAAGTGCCCCACAAACGCCGAGGTCAACATCCAAGCCATCGCTGCCCACCCGCCCGCCCGCCCGAAGATGCAAGGGGGGGAGAAATTAAGTCACCCCCGAAAAGACAGCCTAGCCATTTTTTCAGGGCTCAAAAAAAAAAAAAAAGACCCGGGCTTATTATATGAGAAACACGGTAGATGGCTGGATATTATTATGCATTAAGAGGGTCACAAAAATCAAGTTAAAAAATGAAATCTGGAATAGGTGGGCATCACTTTGGTTGCATGCGATTGTGATTGAAACATCTATCAGGGGAGTCCTTTTTCATTCAGAGCAATTCTTTTAAAATAAGCTATGGTCCTTGTTTCTTATTACTTTCATTGACTGCAGGAGAAGAGTGGAGAGACAACAAATAGTAGTTATGCTATGGAGGCCAGATCCAAAGTTGCACTTCTCTAGTGTACACACTCTAAGCTAAGTTTACAGGCTTTTCGGCAAAAGAGTCAAGGACAAGGTTGAATTAAGATTTTTTTTACCATCTGTTTCTCAGCCTTGGATGTTGAAGCCACAGTGTGTTATGAGAATCCAGTTATTTTTAGTGTGTTGTATGAAGCACATCACCACACTGAGCTACAATACAGTTCCTCTTTGGGGACGCAGTGTATTATATGAGCACAGTAATTATGACTGGTCTTAAGAGTTATATGAACTCAGCTAATACAGTCATCATCATCTTTCCCTAAAGCGTAACCAGGAAACTCAAGAAGTAGGAGTTCAGAATTAGATCCAGTGTAACCAGAAGTTTTCTGGATGACTTTGGATTTTTTGCAGGCCAATTTTGGTGTATGATCGTAATAAAGTTTTGACTTGATTTGATGGGTGTGTTGTATTGCCACTTTGACCTCCTGGTAAAAAGGCAGGATATAAATCTGAGAACTCAATAATAATACATTTTTTTTCAAGATATTTGCATGTATGTGCAAATAAAGGTACATAATTTCACATGCAAAATAGATTCATGACGTCCTGAGCAATCACTCAATCTGATCTTACTCATAAATCCGCTTAACAACCACTGTAATGTTCCGTTCCCCACCCTTCTTTTCTTTTTAGTTTTTTTTATACAGCGGGAAAAAGGAGAGTGTTGGAACCTTGGGGAGCTGGAGTTCACTGCCCCATCCACATCTGATCTAGCAACACGCTGGGTCAGCGCCCTTCAGACCTGGATTCATTATCATGGTCAGTTCATAGTCAGCTGAAGTCTTCCTTCTTAAGTATGGCTGCCATGCAAAGACAGGCCCATATAAGTGGGTAGGATGTGGCTTCCAAGAAGGGAACCAGGGAACCTCTCTTAATTGCAAGTAGGGCAATGTCAGCCCTACAAGGTAGATTAGATCAAGAAATGAAATGAACTGCTCTTAGTCAGTACTAAGGGAAAGGTACTTTGTACAGTGTGTGCTCAAAGGCCACCTGTATTTTTTTTTTTCCTTTTGTATGTCATGGAAAATAAGTTTTGCGTTGGTGTTAAATGAAGTCTTACCCTGCAGAAGGCGACTGCCTGACTTGGTTCAGGCTGGGAAGCTGAGTCAGGTTGAGCCATGTTGGTAGGCGGATGGGAGACTCCCACAAACACCAGGATTGAAGACTAGAGTCTGAAAGAAAGCAATAACGAGTCGCTTCTGCATGCCACCAAGCAAACTCAGCAACTTGAAGGAGCCTTTTTGACACAAAATGACAATTAGCTCTTATTCTGCAGTTTTTGTGGGTTTTTGTGAATACAGGCTATAAGGGAACAAAGAACTCTTTCTTCATGCGCTCTTGAGGCGTCAATTGACTACTGACATAGGCTGAACTAGATGGTACTTTGATCTCATCCTGCAGCCATTTACATTTCCCTCCAGGTGTTACACGGCCCAAGAGTCTACTTGTCTTCATCAATCCAGTGGGGGGACGTAAGCAAGCAATGGAGATCTATCAAAGTCAAGTGGCTCCACTGTTCGCCCTGGCTGGGATCCATGCTCAAGTTGTGGGTGAGTCCCATTATGTTCCTCCACCACTCCCTCTTTCCTTCTCATTGTGGACTTCTTTTATCTCCAATAGCTTCCAGCTTTCCTGTTGCTCCATCCTTTGTCAGAGTCTTGTAATAGCATACCACTTAGCAATAGCAATGGTTCTTAGACTTATGTACCGCTCCATACAGCACTATCTGAGCAGTTTACAAACATCAGCATTTTGCCCCCAACAATCCAGGTCTTCATTTTACTGACCCTGGAAGGATGGAAGGCTGAGTCAACCTTGAGTGGTCAGAATCAAACTCATGGCAATGGGCAGAGTTAGCCTGCAATACTGCATTCTAACTGCGCCACCATGGTTCCTATTAAACAATCTCCTGCTTTCTTCATTTTGCCATCTTCTCAGAGACTTGCCATGCAAATGAGGCTCGTGACTACATCCTACAGCAAGATCTCTGTGGCTTCGATGGGTAAGTGTTTTTGTCTTAGTTTGCCTGCATCTGCACTGACTGCTTTCTGAGGAAATTGGTGCCTCTAATTCAGGGGTGTCAAACGCAAGGCCCGGGAGCCGGAGCCGGCCTGCAGGGTGTTTAGATCTGGAAACAGTGAAGGACTGGCACGTGGTGCCTCTGCCAGCAAAAACGGAGCTTGGAAGGACTGCGGACGGCCCTCCTGAGCTCTGTTTTTCCTGGCAGAGGATTGCAGGAGGCTGTCGCAGAGAAAACGGAGCTTGGGAGCCTGTTTTCACTGACAGAGCACTTGGCCCACCACAGGCACCCCTGACACAAGCGGCATCGAGCTGGTCACGCCCATCTCAGCCCCCTCAAAGTCAAACACAACACTGATGCGACCCTCAATGAAATTGAGTTTGACATCACTGCTCTAGTTCAGTCTGAACAATCCCTTCAGTTCAATCCTGGCATCTTCTTCAAACTGTTGCCCTCCCTTTCTCCTGGAACTGCAATATGTCGTACCCTCCAGCATGGGACTACGTTTGGTGAGCACCAAATTGGTAAAAACCATTCTTTGAAAAGCAATTGATCTGCTCCAAGCAGACATTAAGAGCCCCGCAAAACAATGGCTGCAAAGCAAATACATTTTTCAGTGATTTGAATGAAAAAAAAAAGGGAGGGAACCAATCTGTTTCCTTTTTTTCTAAGTTTGTTTGCCAGTGCAACCATGGAGAAAACTTCTAGCAAATTCCAAATGCTGTAATTCATTAATTCATTCGCTGTCAGCTTAGCCCAAGAATGAGGTAGAACAATCCAGCCAGGGTTCAGTTTCTTGTTTGTTTATACACAATAAACAGACTCTTGCCAGACTCTTGCCCTTACTTCTCTCAGCCTAGTGGATATCCCCTGGGAAATTCTGAGGCGTGCCTATCCTAGATCTCTGCCTCTGCTTCCTATCCAGGTCCAGGCCTATGATGCGTCTTGTCTCACTCCACTCCTTGGAATGTGCTCCATCCTTTCTGGGAAATTGGTGCTTTATTGTAGTCCATCACATCACCTTCCCCTCCCATGGGCATGATCTCTCACATTCACAACCAGATTATAAAACTTTAGTAAGAACTGAAGTTGAAGATGAGAAGCAAAACATCTTCCTCAAGGAACAAACAGCCTAGCTGCCTTTAAAAAAATACTTTTGAGACAACCATGTCCTGGGTGACCGAGAATCCCCATAGACTTTATAAAACCAGGTTAAATACTTGATTCTACCATAATTAGGCTAAACATTGATTTTTAAACAATGTTATAGTAAGAAAAACGCTAAGATGTTATGAACATTAAACATTTCATTTAGATCTTGTTTCTAAATGGCTTTAAAAACAAGAATGTTTCTGGCCTTTGCAAATTTTTAAAAAAATTCTGAAGGGTGTTACAAAAAGGTATTAAATACGCCATACACATTTTTATTTTATTTATTTAAAAGATTTGTATTGGCTCCCATCTCTTTTTTACCTGTTTTTATTTTATTCAAAGCAAGATTAAAATACAAAATACGGAACTCAAAAAAAAATCCAACAGGACAAAACGGGAAAAAAACACAAAACAAAACATTAAAGAGGACCATAAAAAAAGATATTATACACATATTAACCCCTCTAATTGAATACTGATTAATATATTGCTACATCATTAGTTCCACCTCTTGTGAAACAAACCCTCCAAAAAATTTTAAACTACTAAATCTATTTGCAACTTGTTGACCCGTTTTCTATAACAAATAGTTAACAGGAAAAACAATATTAGTGAAACAAAACAAAATTAGAGTTTCAAAACTCTCTGTTAACAGGCTGTTATTGTAATCCACTCTTAGAAAATTTACCACAGCATCTTATCTATCCCAAATCATCCCAAAAGTTATAAACTAATCATCCTGGGTCAAATATCCATGTTTATTTCTTAATATCTTCTCTAGTCAATTGCTGTTTAATTAAATAAAGTAAAATCAGTTTCCAAAATAGGTCTATTTTCCTATCAAAGTGCAAGCGGAAGTAATTGCCAATTCAGTGTAATAAATGCATCCAGTCTCCCTCCAGACTTCGCAGATGTGTGGAATTTGTCTCTTTCCCTCTTAGTCAAAGCCATAACATTGAAAGAATGTGCAGACTTAAACTTCAGAACAGCAGATGATGGTTCTCCAAGCCATGAAATTATCTTTTTGACCTGGAACTGGATCAAAGTCCTTTTGTGTACTTTCATCCACATCCAGAGATAAAGCTTCAGATCTAAACATTCTTTTAACAAACATTAAAGTTTGATCAAATTTTTGAGAGAGGAACTCAGCTAGATGCTGCACATTTCCCCATTTTCCTTAGATTTCAGAGCCATCTTAATCTGTGAAATTTAGCCAGAAAACAAAGAACAAAAAAAAGTATGTTTGCCTCTATATTTCAATCCAAGATTATAAGAAAAGTTCAATGGAAATAAACTCCAGGTGTTTTTCAAATTCAAAAAATGCAGAATCCAGCAGTAAGAGTCTGTAAACTGTTCACCCACCCACCCCTCAACATTACCGTGCTTTCCATAAGGAATTAACAGAGGTTATTCAAAACAACATATATCAAGAAAAAGAAAAAGAAAAAACAATTAGAGTCCAGCAAGGGATTGACATAAAGCAGCACCCACCCTTAAATCAACTTTTAAGACAATGAGCAAAATAAAACAGTGAAATCAAAAGGTGAAAGTTAAAATTCCGGCATGCGGTAGAAAACAAAATTGCTTGACAGGAAGATGGATACACCCAATGACTTTTCAATCACTTCCAGAGGGAATTGGAATCTTCATGACCCTCCCCTTTACCCACTGGGTCCACGATTGTCCAAAAGTCATCTTGAGTCATTCCTAAGTGCTCCATTTAAAGCCAGGGAGCAGTACTGCCAAAGAACCCACCTTTAGGAGTGAAATCAGCAGATCACTGATAAGAGAAAAAAGACCGTTACAGCAGCCATTTTGAAATGGGAAACGGGAGCCGTTTTGCCTCCCATCTTAAAACATGCTCTGGGCTGTTTACAACAGCAACAAAACCCCAGAAGTATATTTTGAAATCATAAAACTGTAAAAACAAAACCGGAGGGTCCTTAGCAGGCCCCAACAATCAAGATACATTCACTGTACCTGAGCAAAAATGCTAGGTTTTAATGGCCTTCTGGAAAGCTAAAAGAGTGGGGGCCTACTAAATAACCAGGGTGGGGGGAGCTATGGAAAAGTCATGCTTCTGAGGTCCCGGTAGTAAGCAGCATTTCAGGGAAGGGACCTATCCTGTCTGATCCGGTAGGATAGACAGATAGTCTCAGGGAGAAGCAGAAACAACCAAGTTGTGGGAAGTTGATAACCAGCACCTTGAATTGCAGCCAGCACTGGGACTCAGTGCACCTCATAAAGCAGAAAGGAGATAAAACAGTGTAAGTAAGAGGAAGTAAAGAAGAATACATTGTAGAAAAATAAAACATCTGAGAGCTGGCTTGGCTGAATGTTGTTCCCCATCAGAGCTCTCTATGCACACACAAATAGCTTCCAACCTTCCACCATTTAATTCTACTCACAGTATTAAGGCGTCATGGGACATTTTTGCCCCATGCCATACAACTTTATGTAAACAAGCACAGTAGTGTCCTTGCCCCTCATGGAAGTGGGGAGAAATGGGAGAATCCCCATCATTTGCCTAGAAGCAATCCGTAAAGGGAGTTGCTTCACATCCTGACTACAGATTATGACCAGTTGCTTAGCAACCATTCAAAGTTACTGTTATGAATCAATAAAGTAACTAGCATAAAATGCAAAGTTGGTTTTGAAGGCCTGCACACCTGATTGGTCCTCAAACAACGAACAGGGATTGGTCAGGATGAGGCCACTCCTTATTGGTTATTATTTGAACTTATCACAAAGGTTATTGGTTAATAGGGTAGCAGCCAACCCTATAAAAGGGTTACTGCTGCCCATAGAGTTTGCTCTGTTCTATTCCTATTACTGTTATTATTAAAGAGTTGAAGTCACTGGTCAGATGTCTGGTCTCCTTATTCCCCAAACATAACAGTTACGATGGACACCTGGAAGGCTACTTGTGACCAGTTTTGAAGTTCTGACACTGCATCACTTCACTCACAGCTGCATGACCACATTTTGGGCTCAAGGCAACTATCCCACAATTACAGCTGTTTGTAATATCCCACAGCCATTTGACTGTGATTTAAGTTTTTGCCAGAAACCAATGTTTACTTCTGGCAAAAACCAGGCCAAAGTGAACAATTAGTTCACTTAACAACTGTGGTGCTTGCATAACAACTGACACAAAAAAAGGTTGTAAAATTGGACCCAATTGTGTAAGCGATCTGCTTTATGACCATCATGACTTACAAGTCTAATTACCAGGCTCAATTGCAGTTGGAAGTTGAGGACTACCTATAACTTAGCTTATTACCTCCTCCATCCCATTCCAGGCTGGTAAGTGTGGGAGGCGACGGCACATTCAATGAAGTGATGCACGCCTTAATCAACCGAACCCAGCAGAAGGCAGGGAAGCTCAAAGGGGACGTTGATGTGGAGCTTCTGTCCCCAAGACTTCGCATTGGCATCATTCCTGCAGGTAAGACCAGAAGCTTCCCAAAATTAAGGCTTGAGGTTCTTTAAGAGCTGGGAAATAATGACTAAAACAAAGGTCTGGGGGGAAGCAGACAGCATTCTGAGCTATTTTCCAGCAAGTCGGGTGATAGGATGTCTTCTGTTGCTATTCCAGGTTCTACAGATTGTGTCTGCTTTGCAACTGTGGGAACAAATGACCCCGTCACCTCTGCTCTGCACATCATTATAGGTGCTTAGCCAGCATGCACCATCCATTTGTGGCTGTGGAGAGTATGGTCCTTAAAACTGCCCTGAGTAGGGAATTTTGGAAAGCCAAGTTTGGAAGTAAAGCATCTGTAGGGCAAGCTTGAAAATGGTCTCTGACTGCTGGTCATACCCTTGCAATAAAAGGGTGCCTGCTTGGGTTGCTTCAGAGTGGGGCTAGCTATTTTGCTAGCCCCACTTGAGAACAGAAACATTGGCTTCCTTGAGAAAAGGTTGTGGGCCTGTAGATACCTAGCCCCATACCTAAAATGCAGTGAGAGAGTGTGGAGTTTTCCTTCTAATCTCTTTTCCATGCCTTTCTTTCCTTCTCAGGGGATAGCCAGCCTCTGGATGTCTGCAGCATTTGGCATGATGGGATGCTTTTACGCTACTCCGTCTCCCTGACTGGTTATGGTTTCTACGGCGATGTAGTAAGCATCAGTGAGAAGCATCGTTGGATGGGGCCAGCGCGTTACACCTTTGCAGGTATTGTTCGGCAGAAGAAGAAGCTGGATAAAGGGAACTGGGAGAGGGGAAGGAAAACAAAGACTCATAAAAATGAAATTCTTCTCAATGGGCTTAAAAGAAATACAGGCTCAAAGGGCCTAGTAAGAAAATACTCCTGTTTTAAATTCCAGTTCTCAGGAATGACTGAAAGTATTTTTGAAATATGCCTGATGCTATTTGAGCAGTGGTTTTTCAGGAAAAAAAAAATCACTTATATTTATATATTTACTCTATATCTCACTGTCAAATATGATATAACTTTAGTTCCCGCATTTCAGTCTCTTTGAAAAGGCACAAAAACTGTTTATTGCAACAACAGCTGTGATTTCTGTGTCAGTTGTCTGATTCTTCCAAAACCGTTCACACATGATACTAAAAAATTATCTTCTTTTCTGTATCCTTCACTATTCAATACCTACTGACTTCAAACATGCCCAACGATACTCCAGACTGAAAGAAAAGCTACTTAAAACAAAAGAACCTAAACCTTCTGTGAATTTTCCACTAAGCGTGGTGCTGGTGTGTGCTTGTCTATATGTGTGAACACACCCAGCCCAAACCCTCCCTTCAGTTATTTCCTCTTTCAGGAGCCAAAGCCGTGCTAAACAACCGCAGCTATGAAGGCACTGTGGAATTCCAATTGGCAGAGTCAGAGGACACCAATCCGCGGGATCAGTCACGCTGCCGATCAGGGTACATTGATGGGAAACTGCCACAAATGGGGTTTACAACCATGGGCAAAGTCCAGGAAAACAGCCACAGAAAAGGAGTGGAGCGGCCTACTCCAATTCTTCTAATATTTTGTACTATGGACCCCATGATTCCCAGCTGGCTAGGGGTCATGAAAATTGGGTTGCAATACATTAAGACAGGGGTCCCCAACCGCCGGTCCGTGGACCGGTACCGGTCCGCGGAACAAGTCTTACCGGGCCACTGGTTGCTGGGCGCCGCCATCTTTTTTTGGTAAAAAAGTGCTTCCGGTGAGCTTTTCTGGGTAGAAAGCTCACCGGAAGCACTTTTTCGTCAAAAAAAGATGGCGGCGCCCAGTTGATGCCGGTACCGGGCCGCGGCACCCAGCTGATGCCGGTACCGGGCCGCGGCGTCAAAAAGGTTGGGGATCACTGCATTAAGAGGACTAAGTTGGGAAGAATACATGATTGAATTATAACACCAGCTCTCTTTTTCAGCTGCATGGTCTGTTCTGAGTCTAGCAAAAACCTTCTGAGTGGAAGCAAGGAAGAACACTTATCAGAATTCACAAAGCAGGCAGGTAAAAGCACCAAAAGCACTTTTTTTAATCGCAAAGGATCAACACTGAACATTAATCCTGCTGTAAATTAATCTTGAAAATTAATAAATGAAAATTAATTTGCTGTAATCTTTGCGACAAGAAGCGTGTTTCACATGCAGGATCCAATCTGGGTCAGTCACCGGGACCAGAGGTTTAGTCTTCCAGACTTGTGTTGGAGTCCATTTTCAGGAGAGAAGTTGGGCTCCAACACGAGTCTGAAGACTGAAGTCGGAAGACTAAACCTCTGGTCCCTGGGAACTGACTTAGATTGGATCCTGCAACATTATCTGGGACATATCCACCCATCTTAACGTTGCTGAGGTTGAGAAATACTGCTGTAAGTTAAGTAAGCATTTATAGCTCATCACCCCTACTCTCTCCATACTGAGGCTAATCTGGGGCCAAGAGTGTGCATCTCACCCTGGCTAAACTTCATACTCTTCAAATCTAATCTTAGTCCATTTGGCTGCACCAGTCCTCTGTGGTCCCTGGGAAATGATGACTCAAATCTGACAAGCCAGGTTGAGTGATGTATGAGAGATGCAAAATCTACAATAGAATAGAATAGAATTCTTTATTGGCCAAGTGTAATTGGACACACAAGGAATTTGTCTTGGTGCAAATGCTCTCGGTGTACATAAAATAAAATATATTTGTTAAGAGTCTAGCATCATAAGGTACAACACTTAATAGTCATAGGGTACAATAAGCAATCAAATTATACTAGGAAACAGTCAATATAGATTGTAAGGATACAATCAACAAAGTTACAGTCCTACAGTCACAAGTGGGAAGGGATGGGTGATAAGGAGTGATGAGAAGATTTACAGTAATAGTAGTGCAGACTTTGTAAATAGTTGGACAGTATTGAGGGAATTATTTGTTTAGCAGAGTGATGGCTTTCGGGAAAAAACTGTCCTTGTGTCTAGTTGTTCTGGTGTGCAGTGCTCTGTAGCGTCCGTTTTGAGGGAAGGAGTTGAAACAGTTTATGTCCGGGATGTGAGGGGTCTGTAAATATTTACAAACAGATAATCCAGCTACTACTTGTCAGAGAATCTGCTTTTACTAGATTTTTTTTTTTAAAAAAAAGCAGATTATATTAGGTCAGATTATGTTTCCAGCTCATGTCTTGTTAGGTTGGCCAAATAATCTGATTTAGGAAGTAGTCTTCCTTGTCTGAAGCTGGTTGAAAGGAAAAAAAAAGAGAGACTGTTGAAATAAAAATATTTCTCATTTCATTTTGCTGCCAGCTTGCTGGGTGATCTTAAGCAAGCTCCAGTCTTCTAAATTTAGGATTCTCATATATAACAAGGAACAATACTAATACTAGTAATAGTATTCAGTAACTGTTGTATAACGTCGTAATGCTTGCATAACTAACGGATTCGGAGGGCTTGAAGTGATAAACAGAAATCCTGTTAGTGCATTTGGAAAGGTTATTACGGGGCATCTTTGTCTGCTGTTTCTTGACCACTTGCCATGCAGTCTGTCTTGTGCTTCAATGACTGCTTGCTTCCTCAAGGTCTCTCCTGGAAAAGCAAACTTAACAGAGAACAGGCCTGTCAGGTGGTTTCTATTTTCAATGCCTCTATTTTGCAAACAGCAGCAAACACAAACAGAACCGGTCTGAGCTGCTTTGCTTTCTTTCTTAGAGGTGGAATAGAGGAGGAAGCATCCGAAGAACCCTAGTTTTTGCAGAAATAAAATACCGGGCATGTCTTCTGCCAGTGCTTTTGGCAATCTCAGACTGGAACTGCTGGGTCTAGGCAGCATAATTTCAGAAAATGAGGATTTGTCCCCAGAAAAAGCCTTGTAGACAAAAAATAGCAACGAAGTGTTGTTACCTCTTAGTAATCACCACTCTCAATTGGATCCCTGACTAGCTAAGGAGCTTCCTGGGTGAAGATGCTCAAGATAAACCTGTTTCTCCCCTCCAGGTGGTGAATGGCACCGGGTTCATGGTAGCTTCCTGGCAGTCAACCTGACCTGCATGAGCAGTGCCTGTCCTAAGAGCCCCAAGGGTCTCTCACCTTGTGCCCACCTGGCCGATGGAACTGCCGACCTTATCTTGGTGCACAAATGCTCGGTCTTCTCCTTCCTGCAGCATTTGAATCGGCACACCAACTGCTCAGACCAGGTATGGGTAACCTGCTGCTTTCCTATAGACTTGGGGGTGTGGGGTGGGGGTTGGTGATGTCAGAATATTAAGTCTTCGTGGTTATGGTTTTGCACGTGTCCATGCAAAGGGTAAAATAAGTGCATTTATTCTAGCCCTGTGCTGATTGGAGGGTAGAATTGCCAATCAGTATATATTCTGAAGGAGAGGGCAACGGAGGAGGAGAGAAGCCTTTGGCAGGGGTGGGTGGGCAGACAGGTCTGAGGGAGACTCAGCATCCTAGTCCATCTATCAAAGTAGTGATGCAGTCATTCTGATTCTCCCTGGTATCCATGGTATCTTTCATGACCAATTGTCAGTCTGTACTCCATTCAAAATCCAAGAAAGAAATACTTAGACTCCATAGATTAGAAGAAAGAAATCTTTTACTGAAAATTGAAGTGGTAGCTTCAGGTAGAATTCTGAATCTAAGAAATTAGGCGTGCAGATCACATATACAAAGGGATGGAATTGTTCCCACCCCCAAAAGATTCTTCCAATTAAAAGTTCTGGATATGGTCATGTGGGCATCTTCAGGTGGTGATGAGGCCTCTGTCCGTTGACCTTGACATATTTTGATAAAGATTTGCAGTTGCGCAGAGAAAAGAAGGCTAAGCAAGGAATAGAAACATAAGAGCAGGAATTTATACTCCCCCCCCTCCTCATTTATACAATACAAGAATGTAACACCTCCAGCTCTCTTCCCAGACATATCTCCTCTCCCCGTTACTTATGGCAGCCAAAAGATGCAAAGCAGTAGAAAAGATCTTGAAGGCTGACACCAATGGGTATCTCTCATTCTCCATGGTATCTTTCATGACCAACTGTATTAGAAATGGGAGGCATGGCTTTTCTGTAGTTTTTTTTCAGGGCCAGTTCCCTTCAGTATTGATGGGAGGAGAGGTTGAGCCTAAGTTCCCTTACATACGGGGTGTCACGGGTTCAATGCTCTCACTCCTCTACTTTGAGATCTACATGAAGCTACTGGGGAAGGTCTTCTGTTGGGACAAAGCCAGATATACAGATTATACCATTCACCTTGATGTTGGGCCCATTAAGTGATGTTGTGGAGGTCTTAGTCTGGATGGGGAAGAACAGACTTGACAATCAGCACTGACAAAATTGGCTATGCGTTTCAAATTTTCCTCTACCAAGGACTTTTCCCCAGACAGAATTAGTGTGCAATTTGGAACTCCTAATGGAACAGCACATGGCAGTTGTGCTTAAGTGGCAGACTTTGCAGTCTTCTCATAGTCATTCATGCCTTAGTCGGTTTGTGCTTGGATGATTGAGATGTGTTCTACCTGTGACTGCTTTTGAATCGCATGGAAGCTGCATCTGGTCCAAAATTAGCAGCATGGGTAGTTTTGAGCGCACCTTGGCATAGCCAGGCAACACCTCTACTGTGGGAGCTGCACTGGTCACCACTAAGTTTCTGGGTGTAATTCACAGTGCTGGTTTTGACTTTTAAAGCCCTTCTTGGCATAGTACCTAGCTACCCGAGGGACTACCATTGCTTCTGATCACCTAGTTAAATTTGTGAGTGAGCGTGTTCCAGCTGTCATTTTTAAAACAGGACATAATGCCTTCTCTGTTGTGATGCTAGCCTTCTGGGATTCAAATAGCTCCACCCCTACCATCTTTTAAATGGTATGACTTTTTGCAATGGGGTATTTATTAATAGGTTTGGAATATTAATCTCCAGGTTCCTTCTAATTTGTGAGTAGAACTTAGGAGTGGAGTTACACAGAAAGGGATAGCACATACAGTAGATAGTCTTTTTTTTTTTTTTTGAGCTGCTGCCATCCATTTTTCCCTGCTCATTTTAGGCTGTCCATTCCTTTGGCCATTATTTTTTTGTGTGGAAGGCTCATTTCCTATATCTAGATTGAGATTTCACAAGTTCTAGTGAGGTCGTTTATCCAAAAATGCGTGCCATTGGATTTTTATGACAAGGGCAGCTAAATTTTGGGGACATCCTTCCCGATAGAACAGAACAAAATCGAATGTTTATTGTAGTCAATGAAAAGCCCATATGTAGTTGCATACGTAAAATTGATACGTACATTTGTCAAACTGATGTGCATCTTACCTAACAGAATTTGGCCATGCTTAAGGAAGTAGTGTCATTTAAATCCAAGTAGGTTTAAATAGAACCAATTGAGTGATCAGGATATTTAATTAGATGTGGAATTGAGTTCAGTATGGGTGTCAACATAAAATGGACAATAAAGTTAGGCACGTTTGGTTTCTATAGCTTATATAAGGGCAGAATCTGGATTTAAATGGAACCCCTTTGTGTCCCCCTTCTAAAACCGATGAAGGGAGTGTACTGAATCATGCTAAGGTTAGGGACCTCCTTAGCTGGGAAGCAGTGATTTAATTTAAATATGTAGCAGGTTTGCTGGGAGAGTAAATGCTACTTAGAAATACATGTTTGGAAAGGGACATCAAGCCTGTTTGAATATCAGTGCCCTGAAGACATTGCTTGATTGCTTCTACTGTACATTCTTGCCTCAGCATGCACACTTGAGTTAAGGAAGACCCACAAAGTTCCATTTTTTTGGATTAAAAACCATACTAAATTACAATAAATACTGTACATTTGGTAAGTTTCTCCCATTCCATTTTGTCAGATTAAACATTGCAGTACATTGACCAACATCTCCAAGTTCCAGGCACTTGCAAATTTTGCTCTTCTCCGTTGTATTAGCAGAGATATTTGTTAACAGCTCCTCCCAAACTCTAGAGACAAGGAGCTGCTTTTGCTCAGGAGATGCAATTGTGTTCCACAGTTTGACCTGCCCTTTGTGAGTGTGTACCGGGTTCGAGCTGTTCGCTTCACCTCCCCCAAAGGGGAAGACTGGGAGGGAAGACAAGAAGCTGCACAAGAACAGAACATACTCTGTGGGGGAATATGCCAAGGACAGCCTCTGGTCAGCTGCTGGACCTGCGATGGAGAGACTTTGAACTACACTGATATCACCATTCGGTAGGTCCTCTGATGGGGTGGGTCAAAAATTCCTGGACTGAATCACAAAGGCACAGGGAGAAGGGAGCACAGTTGGTCAACTTGGACTAATGGGAAAAAATGAGTATGAAATTTGGGGGATCCTAAAAAGATCACAGCAATAACTGGTAACCTAGAATGAGATTGAAGAGAGCTGGGCAGAAATGAGTAATAGCAGTAACAAGGCCGGCCACTGGAAGACTATGAGGAAAAGCTCTGAAGACTTGGTCTGTCTAAAAGGTGGGATGGAGGCCCTTCCAAAAAAAAGGTGCAATTCTTGCTTGCTGGCTCAGATTTACCCACTGGGTCGCAATGTAATAGGAGGAGGTAATAGGAGGAGGACATTATTACATGCACAGAGATCAATAACCTTAAGTAAGAGTTGCTTTCCAGGCCCTATCGACTCCTTAGTAGGCAGTTTCCAGCATGCCACTAAAAAGGCCAAAGGCAATGCTTGGTCTGAAAACAGTTGTGCAGCTCTGGTTAGAGAAAATATAAACCGGAAGGTAGCCAAGATTCTTAACAGGCCTAAGAGGGAGCAGCTTTACTTTTTTAAATTATATTGTAGTCACTATTCTACAACTGCTTGTTCTGTTCTTCTCTCCCCTTAAGAGTACACGGGAGTCTCATCCATCTCTTTGCTCGTGGAATTGAACAGCAACCAAGCACGTCCTAGACGTTTTCTGCCAGCTGAAAGGCAACCTGATGAAAGGCAAAGCTCCTGCTGAGAATTTCAGACCACAGCCTCAAGAGAGTCGCTTCCTAATATATGTATTAATTAGGAATGGAATCCAAGAGGTTCAAGGGTAGAAGCTGAGCCTGAGAAATTTCAGCTCCAGTTATCAGAGATAGCTTCCTCCATAAGGAGGTTGTGCTTCAGCTCTTATCTGACTGAGGCTGCTGCCTTGCCCTGGTTAGGAAAAGCAGAGGCATGGATGCTAGGTTGGCTATACAGGTACAAGGCCCCCTGCTCCCATATTTTATTTATAGCCTTCAGGCCAGCCGTAATTGTGCAATACTAAGATTCAGTTGCCCAGACAGGTGAAGATTAAGCAGAGCTAGCTCGTGGTTACAAGTGGACTTAAGACGCCTCAAACATGTATTCAAGAGACACAAGATGGTGGAGTTTTTGTAGTAACTTCCATTTCCAGAACAGCATCATGTACAAAATCCAAAGGAATGTAAGAAGTAGTTCCAAGTAAAAGCAATTGATAAAGCAGAATACATAGATGAGGAAGGAGTACGGAGTGTGAGACCAAAAAAAAACCCTCTGCAGCTTTCTCATGCCATCAGAAGCTTTCCCAGCATAACAGCAGAAACTGGAATGGGATAGAGAGAGAGAGTGCACACGAGGGCCACCAAGAGGTCAGCGGCAGAAGATGCTGTTCGTGCTGAAGATATCCCACTGCAGCTGGAGAAGTGCACGAATGTCTAAGCCCAACAAGCTGCCCTCTCAGACAAGATGGGCACGTCACTGCCAAGCCTGGCCTGGCTCAGTTTCTCTGGAGAGATGTAGAGACGAGCTGCGGGTGCCATTCCAAGAGGCAGAGGCTGACAGGATTCAGAGCTTGTGAGGATTGACCCACCGGTAGGTGCCTTCGTACTGAAATCCCACTCTCTTCATCAATTCATCAGCCTCGGTAGGGCCACGGCTAGAAGATTAAAAAAAAAAAGCAACCTATTAATATTTCCAGAAACACGGCTATGAGCAAGCCTCACTCATGGACTTCAACAAATGACTGTTTTGTACTGCTGTTCTTCTCACCTCCTGAGCAGAAAAATAGTAATGGTTTCTTTAATGATCCAGAAATGACTGGTGTGCTGTTTTCATTTCTGTGAATTGACTGAAATTCATTAACAATCCTTTTCATTTTACTTTGCTTAAATCTCTCTCTCTCCCCCCACTCCCTGGCCAGCCGTTGAGTGCTCTTAGGATCCAAGAGAACATGAATGCACAGGAGCCAGGCAATCCAGTTTGGTACCTGTCAAAAATTTTATTTGATTGGACCAGTGGGTCAGCCTTGGGTCCAAGCCTTTGTTTAACTTTGCCACGTGACAAGGATCTGTGAAATGTGCCCTAGTGTAATCATGACTGGAAATGAGTGCCTGGTACCTTGAAAAGTGCGTAGGGATATAGCTGTCTTAGATATTTGGTGGCATGGGTAAGCGGATCAAGTCCATTGGTAAAACCAGCACATCAGCTGAAAGAGAACCCTGCCCTGTGAGGGGAGAGCAAGACTGTTTCTAGAAGCCAGAAAAGGCTAGGGGCGACATTTCTGTGTATGTACAGATGACACATAAAGGTCTGGGCTACTCTTGTCATTTCTGTAGTCTGCTTTTCAAAGGAAGCATTGCTGCCCTCCTAACCGCCCTGCAATCATTTCTAACCTCACCTGCCATAGCAATAGGCGATCGGTTTTGTCTTCTCTGCCTCGATTTGGTGGAGCAGTGGAGTGAATATACGCCAGGCCTCTCGTAGTTCATCACTGAGGGAGAAGGCAGCAAGGTTAGGCTGGGTTGTAGAAATCCAAGGAAACACTAGAAAAGACTTGTTACCAGGCCAGAGAGGAATAGGTATGGCCTTCATTAAATACTGAGTTCTGAGTCTTCAATCTGTATCTGTAATTCAAAGATTTCAAACCCAAATGCCATAATGCTCTACACACACATCACAGATACACATAACCCATGGAAGAAAACACCAGCGGCTATCAATATGCTATCGGGAGCTTGGAAAAATACAGCAGCCAACAACTATCAGGGGCTTGGAAATTTTAGTTTTTCCTCCTAAATGTGCTCTAATGACTCTCCCCCACTACTCACCTGCGCACAAAGTGCATCTGGCTGCCACAGAAAACATCCAAGATAAGGCGCTCATAAGCATCTGGGAGTTTCACATCCTGTGGAAAAGAGCAGAAAAAAAAGATGTTAAGCATTGCATGCTATAAGATGGTCTATTCCTAACAATTAGCTCTAGAACTATGAAGCATTTAGTAGCAGATAGGACACCTTGGTTATGAAAGGGCAATGATAAGAGACCTAAAATCTAATGTAACAGTGTCAAGAGATGACTTCCATGTCTGAAATAGTCACTGCAACATGCCAGGATTCACATCAAAGGGAGTCCTCATGATCGGTTGCTTAGAATTATGACAGTTCCCCAGAGCTACTTACAACCCAGAATTGAGATTCTGGTGGCTCCCCCCCCC